CAGAAAACTAATGGATATTCCTAGGAGGACATGGGACTGTAAGACCTTCTATGCAAACACTTGTTGTTCTGCAGCATTCAATTCTTGATTACGTCTTGTTAAAATATATGTTAGAAAATACCACAGCAGTATGTTCTAAATCCACAAAAGCCTTTTGCTATGTAGACATCATATAGTATATTCAAAGAAAATGTGAAAAGGTCATTATTTAAGCAGCAAAATGAAGCACTCCAAAATTAGGAAATTCCAGATTCACAATGACCCTTGCTCATTAGGATTTAGCCTGTGTATGAATAAATAGATGCTATATGGGAATAGAAGAATTTGTTGTCCTAGAAGTAATATCAGTGATGTCTCATTCAAAAAAAGAAGGGGAAATGAGAAGCACCAATAACTTCAGGTTTGCCTTCTTTTTTGTCAGTGCTGTGGTCCAGAAGCTAAGACTATTAGAGGAACCAGAGACACAATGCTAACCTGAGGCACAGGAGCCCTCACAGTTCCTGGGGGTACAAAGGTGATTTAAAGCATTGTTATTCCTTCCCTGACTGGAACGTGATTGCAGTCTCTGTGTTTCCTTTGCTGAATCTGTAGGAAAGTGATAATAATGAAACACAGAGAATGCATCTGTCTTCGTCAGATTCTATTCCTATTTGAGAAATAAGTGAACACAGAAATGATACTGGAAATAACCACAACAAATCTTCAATTTAAGATTAGTATCTTTAAATTCTGATAAAGAACCTTTCCTCTCCAACTCCCAAATTTACTCCTTTGACGTTTATATTTCTGTGAATCTGTTTTCACTAAGTCTAGAGAAAGATCCATGGGACAGGTGGGATAGATAAAGGAAATACATTTCTCTGTATTGTAGTGAAATATGTTTTGTTGAAGACAATTACGACTTCACAGTCCAAAAGTATTCACATTTCAGGAGGCAGCATTACAGCTTCTGTTTCAGGCAGAGCAGGGGAACATGATGGTATAAAACTTATTTGGGGCAAGTACTAGTCTAAAAAGTAAAGTACCTTGCACAGAGAAAACTGTAATTACTTCTATTCTCTCATTTTTGCAGGGCTGTGATAAGGGGATGTGGGTAATTTCCTCAATGGTTGCAAACAATATTATTGAAAAAAAAGTCAAAACTCCAGAGAGAAAGATTGAAAATAACTGATGTATCTGAAATTAAAAAAAAAATTCTACGGTAGAAAACAAAAAGAATCAAAAGGTATTTTAGCAATTGTTTTGGCATAATTTTCAGTTCTGTATCTGAAAAATAGACATGACCTCATTCACAGGTCTCTTTGTTTCTCTGACTCCAGAGTTAGAAGTAATTAGTTCATATACTGCATTCTACAACCATATATTTAATTATTAGCAGAATTGTCTGCAAATAGACATGCATATATATATACATACAGTTGTATTTGTATACAATGTGTATTAAAGCACAGTAACAGAGACATTCAAAATTTGAATTTTGTGGTAGCAATACACCCAGCAAAGCTCCAAACAGATTAAACAATTTCCTCATGCGATGCTACAGGAATCATAGAGAAGGCATATACAATCCAGGTTACTTACTTACACAAAATAAGCTTTGAGAATGAGGTCTGGGAAATAATGAACCAAAAATACGCTGATACACTGACAAAAAGAAGTTATTGCCTATCCCAGAATACCTTCCTCACACAACAAAAAAACAATGGGCAGTTCTGCCAAAAGTCGGACTCATGCTGTCCATGCCACACATAGCAGCTTAAAACATCTACTGATAAGAGTATAAATCAAGCACAAGCATCAAATCTACTATAAAGTAGATATTTTTTTTTCAGTATCACACCTCTATATTCTGGTAACATTGACATTAGACAAATGCCTTTAGGAAATAAAAAATAAGATGAATTTAAAGGTTCTACGAAATTTTATGATGTGTAGAGCGACTGCCAGACAAAATGAGCAGTGGGAAGCCAAAAAGAAATAAATGCAGAAATGAAAGGCAAACATGATTACAGACAGTAATCACTACTGAGAACTAAGAAAGGAAGGCTTTAAGTTTTTATGTTTGGTGGGAGTAAAATATCTGTGGCTAAAACAGATGCATGACTAACCAAAACAAAGGAACAAAGGACTCTGGCTGGTATCCAGGAATTGATGGCATAAAACTAAACGGAAGTTCTGAGAGTGTATGAGCTCGCACAGAATTAAGTCTTGGAGCAAAATAAGAAAAGGAAAAATGGAGGAGAAGGGGCAATAAGGCAATATCAGGCTGTGAAAAATTACAATTTCCTGGATTACTCCAGCCAGATTTACAAAATCATGTCAGACTAACCCATAATATAGAGGATTCGAAGCAGCAATTGAAGCCACCGAGCCATTGGAGTCAGATAGGCCAGACGGTCTTATCTGCACTTCACTTCCTAAGTTTAGTCATTCGAATGTTTTTCACATCTTTTACTATGTCACATACATGACACGTCTTATCAACTGGACAACACTGAACAACACTCAGACCTTCAATTTGTTATTTTCTCTGTTGAATACTAAAGATTTGATCTTCTTGGGTAAGTAGCTTAATCGACATGGTTACTACCAAAAGCATTAAGGCATAAATCTTGTTTTAAAAAAATGTGTTTTAGCCTTGAATATAGCAAGGAATTAGGTAACAAAATCTTAAACTTCAGTTAGTTCAAAAGAGTCATAAACAAAATGGAACAGCAAGTTCATTAATAAGATACTGTATTACCACTTCAGCTTTTGAAATTATCAGACCAACAACTAATCCTGAAAAAAAGATCTATACTTCCAGTGTCCTTCTTACCACTCAGCTCAATTTTTCACTGCAAAAGTGTAGTCTACAGCACTGTGACAGACACAGGTCTATCCTGGAGCAGTTCTATTTAATGTGAGAGAAAGAGCTATTCAAAATTACATTTGGCTTATGAACTGGCCATAAAATATTTCATCCAGAAAGTGTTATTCTATGCCTTTACTGACCTTTCTCCCAAAAAAGGCTCTGTGAGCTTCACCTCTCTTGAGCTGAGCCGCAGAAGACCCTGCCCCAACTAATCTCTTGCCTGGCACGGAGAATAGTGCAAGGTGCGGAGGGGGAAGGGAATAATCAGTCCTACATGATTCGCCCTTTCAGCAAGAGCTGGTATAGCCCTGGCACTGGTTAGAAACTCTCATATACCTGAACTAGCACGAGTTTTTGTAGCAACAAACTTCAGTCACTGCATCTACTCAACAACTTATTCGGACTGGGGTGCAGATTGGCCTTACAAAGAAAACCAAAGAGTCATGAAAAAATGTGAAGTTTTACAGCTGCACCACCTTCCTTTGAGTGTTTTGGAAAGCAGCTTTGCAAACCTTGCAAAAGAACTTCCCCAACAGGAGAATGTGAATAAGGGGAGAGAGCCATAAGCCGATCGAGCAGGTCTGTTCTGGATGTCTGTAACCACAGCCTCACCTGCCATCTCCTGCTGTTTTAAATCCAACTCTGCACTGACAGTGTACCCTGAAAATGCTCTCCTGGGAACAGTGACAAAGAAAAGGGGCAGCTGTTTCCATAACCAAAAAGGAAGGGCTATGCGGTCTGTGGAAGTAGGGTGACTCACAAGATTTATAAAACGACTATAAAACCATTTTGAAATGCCTCTTCTAGGCAGCTGGAATTTTCAGAAATGCATAGTCAATTTATGCACCAGGGTCTTCATTAAGAAAAAAAAAAAAAAGTCTTTTAAGGCTGAGCTTTTCAACAGTACCTAGGCTATGCATATACCAGTAAACCATGCACACAGGAACATGTCCAACTACCCAAGTTTAATCACTGGGAGTTTACTTCAGACTAAAGCTTGTCTAGCCCCACAGCCTGAATGATCATGAGTGGACAGAGTAAATTAGGTGTGCATGTCAGCTGCATCCTTCAGTTTGTTTTCACCTAGAAGACTGGGTTCTCTGCTCCGAGACCGCTCTGAGAAGCAAACATTAATATAGATGCATACTTGAGCACCTAACTTCTAGGATATAAGTAACCTACATAAGACTTAGCTTCTAAGTCTCTAAATAACCTTATTGTTAGTTAGTTGGTTCATGGTAGCTACAGAAAGCCTTGACAGAGATCCTCTTTGAAAAAGCCACCTGGAACTATATTGTCTTTAATATTCACTCATCCCATTTCATTTAGTTTTGCTTTGGCTATGTAGTGATTTCAGCAAGATCAGTAGTAGCAGCAAATCGTAGTAGCAGTAGGACGTCACCCAGTATACACTCTAAAATAATGGTACTGCAGACTTAAAAAAACAGAAAAATGAGCTTTTAAATACTGAGTTCCAGAAAATCTGCATGTTCCAAACTTTTTTTCTTCGAGTTATTAATATTGAAAGAGAACGTAATTTTATCAGATAAACAACAAACAGAATCTCCAAAAAGTAAAATTTTATCCAGAATAAATTTCTCTAATGAATAAAACAATAGAAGTTTAAATGAGGGGAAGATCTCACCATCAATCCTTTAGTTTTTTTTATCTTAATCTAGAATACGTATCTTCAAATGCCTCCTTAATTGGTTCGCATAATGCTTACTAGTCTTAATGAATAATGCTTGTACAAAGAGCACAGGTAAAAATCATGCAAAATCTATTACAATAAGACATGAGTCAGAATCAATATTAAAAGTACATATTTTCCAGATCAGAAAGTCTATACTTTTTAAAGTAACATTAGAACAGCTATACTAATATTCACACCATTTTTTTATGTTTAATATATGTTAGCATCTTTTGTGAGGAACAATCTGAGGCCAGCCAGTCTAGTCTTCTCAATAAACAACACATGTTCCATTTCTTTCTGAAAGTGAGATTAGATGCAAAAAGAATTCAGAAAGACTTTTAACGGATCCTCTGTACTGAGAAGCAGGTGGCCAGAATTTATAGAGAGATCCAAAACGGAGTTACACACCACAAAGTAAAATTTCAAATCTGTTCCCAAGTCACACCTACTCAATCATAATGACATTTCTTGTTTGGAGTTATGTCCATTCAGGAGTGTTGTGCTTGTCACTGTGTTCCTGTTATTGCTTTTCAGGGAAGTAATTCGAATGGCAGAAGAGTTGTGTAAATAACTGGCAGATCTCTGTTGCTGAGATTTCCTCTTGCAGCAAAGTTGGCTGTTGAAATGTCTTCTAAAGCTCTCACTGAGAAAATACAGTGCAAATGGGTTGACACAGGAGTTGCAGAAGCTTAGCACTCGGGACACTAGGGTAATGATCATATGCCCTACGGATGGATCAATCTCATTGTAATTAAAGGACCGGTACATGTACAGCACATGGTTAGGAAACCAACAGATAGCAAAGAAGCCAACAAAAACTAGAACTATTTTTGCTAGACGTTTCCGAGTCTCCATCTAAAAAAGATGAAAAAAAAAAAAGTAAACGCAAATGAGCAACAATGAATAGAACTATTTGACATAACAGACAATTAAGAAATGTAGAATTTCACTTTATATTAACTCTAACAATGATCTTAAATAAAATCATTAAAATAACTTCCTTTAGGGGGTGAATTACTTTTTCTATCTCATTTACTCTTATTTTCCTCTCTTAGCTTATTTACAGTGAAAGGCTCTAGCTGTTCACAGTTACAGAAGGTTGCTCTTTCTATATGGTCCATGGATAAGTACAGTAAGAGTAATTCGTGTACCAAGTATACCAAGTGTACCAAGACTTTTAGCCCTAAGGAACACACCAAAGGGTGCCATGAAATCTAAAATTTTCTGATGGAATCTCAGTGCTTGGCTAGAAACTTAATTTTAGTAAGAGAATATTTAGAAACTGGTGGCTTTGCAATGTAGAGACATTATCAGACACCTAGGGTGTTAGCCACAAGATGGTGCTTACATCCCCTTTTGTCTGAAAGGTCTCAGCTTGCACCTCTCTCCTAGGAGAACTATCAGACAGATTGCGCAGTCTGGTGCAACTTAATTCCAGGGTAAGCTGAAAGGCTTGGGCAAGCATCAATAATGAGATGAAAGAAACGCGTCCTAACGGCATTGCTAGAGCATAACTGGATTACAGTGTAGATATTTAGAGTGCTACAAATGGTTAGAATAAATTACTTGTTGTCAATTTTAAGCTGAAAAATTCATCATGGTTTCAAAATCCGTGGAATAAATGTAAGAAAGTATATTTATTTAAACTAAAACCAGGGGGTTTCAGAAAATATGAGGAAATTGGGTATAAAATTCTAGAATTCTAATTTGGTGGGATTGTACTGGGCCAGATTGCAAAGGCAGACTAAAAGGTATGGTGTGAATATTATTCTTCTGTGCTATTGCCTAGAGAAATTTAAGTTGATAGCAATAACCTGAATTTACTTCTCCTTGCTGGGAGATACATAAGTACACCAGATTCTTCTACTCTTATGAGTCTCATAGATTAGCCCAAAAATTAAATAAAATGAAAAAAATATGTTCTTATTTTGAAAATACATATGCTTTCAGAAATGTGATATAAATTAAACATTGTTTCCATCCTGAGAGTTCAGCCAAAAGACTCTATATTTCACAGAAAGATAAAATATTCCATGAAGTGCCAATACGCATGCATATTTGACAAGAAGCAGGCTAGAGTGGAAATGAAATGCTGACCAAAATGGACTCAGGGAAATGTAGTCATTCTTTTTAAAAGACACTCTATACAGTCTACACATGTAAAAAGATCTCAGTGAGTGATAAGTTTTCAAAATAAAATAAAATAAAATAAAATAAAATAAACCAGCAGAGAAAATCTTTTCAAATTATCTTAATTGGCATAAGGTTTTTTTTAAAATCAATATTAATATTTTTGTAAAGTGATTGAGATACTTTGTGAAAATTTTCACTTTTTTGTGTGTTTTTTGCTTTTGTCTGTATATAAAGGTTTCTGTTAACAAACAGCTTGTTGCTATCTTATTGCTTGCTGTGCTTTACATTGGAGCTCATTATTAAAATGTTTTGTCTTAAAGTTACACAGAACCTAAACTGAGATCTATGGCATCTATCATAGAAAGGATATTGAGAAAAGTGTAATTGAATTCAGGATTGTATCCAAGAAAGGTCTACTCAGAAAGTCACAAAAAAAAAAAATCTACTCGTGTTCTGTGTTCCTATTTTCAATGTTCCTTGCTCTTAAAGGAATACCAAATTGCATGAGAAAATTTTTCCCTGCCTGTCAGTCTTTCAGTTTCCAAGCATAGATATAATAGGGAGAATTCTCAAAAAATTCCTGTAAGATTTCTCCCCAGAATGACTTCATATAGAGAGAGCCATCAACAGTTAACATAAAAAATTCCTCCTTTGTAACAACACAAGAAAAGGCTATACTGCCACATACAAACAAATATGCCAATTCCTGTTTCCCTTTTATCATAGGAATATTCATTAATATTGAATTTATTTTCCTTGCTCACATTCATTTACATACTAGGCTTACATACTGAATAATAGTTAAAACAGTGCAGATATTTCAGATAATCTTAGGTTTAGCTCACGCACATGGAAGCTCTGAACTCTGAGAAATCCAATAATCAGTATTTCTTAGTTTTTATAGTTTTATAGGGGTTTGTTAACTGTTTGTACTTTTTAAGCGTATACAGTACATCAATCTTTGTCAGGGAATAAAAAGCAAAGTGCTTACTTGTCTTTTGGAATGTTCACTGTATTCTCCAGGGATGTTGTGAGCACTTTTTATTAAAGTTTTTGCAATATGATAGTAGTAGATACTAATAATGGAAAGAGGGATAAGGAAATACACTAGGAAAATCAGCACGGAATGTATCTTTGGGTGCATGTTATCCCTCTTGGGGTAAGGTATGCACGCTGTGAAAGTGGCATTATTTGTTTCATTGATGTGGGCCAACTCAGAGAACACCGCTTCAGGAACAGCCAGGAGCATGGAGATTATCCAGATGGCAACTGCTTTCACACAGGTCCATAGCACTGCACTGGATGCTTGGATATCCATGGGATTTACAATTGCTTTGTACCTGAAATTGATCAAATGCAAACATAAATTGAAGGTAGCATTTCAAAATCAGCATGCAATGTCCAAGGCCACTTCATACGTTTGAGTTAGGGCTTTGGTTTATCTTGGCTGGACTGTGAGTAGGTCAAGGCCACTTTCACATTTACGTATTTTGTTCTTATTTGAAATGTTATTGTTTTTCAGTCTATCTCTAACTTACATTCTCTAAATCTCTAACTTAATTTGTGTATATACTCAAAGCAGGGGCAGCAGAAGCCCTGGATACCGCCTGTGCCCATTCAGCGCCATGTGAAAATGTAAAAGCAGCCATGACTCCATTCTTTCTTTCCCCAAATCCTCTCAGCAACTCCTCATACCCACACCCTACCTTTCAAAATCGCTGTTCTGCCACATTCTTCCTTGGCTCCCACAGCCCATGACTCCTTCCTGCCTGTCACATCTTCCACAAATGCAGCCTCAGTCCCATCTCACCAGCCCCAGCCTGGCAGCAGAGGACAGAAATCAGCTAGCCAGCATTAACTAGTCAGACTAGCAATAACCACTGCTGTGGAGGCTCCTATTTTTCCACCTCAGCATCTCTGCATATGCAGATTGCACACAAAGAATCCAGGCTCTTGTGTTTGGAATATAAACATCTTTATAAAGTCAGGCAGGTACAATTCCCGATGGCCTCTACAGAAGTATTAAACTCTTAAATAAAGTAAACATTTTCACATTAAATAGTTGAAACCTGCTGCTGTATACTGCATTTGGGGCAACTGTCCCATAATATATAATTATGTACATACCTTTAAGAGCTGACAAATTTGTAAGTATTGCTGAGGACTGACATATCAGAAACAAATTAAAATGAAAGAATAGAAGCAGAAGCTGAGCAAGCATTCTTATACATATTTTTTTGTTGTTGCAGAAGTTGATAATAAACTATGAGTCTCCACAGAAAAAGGTCAGTTTTAAAAAGCCAAATACCTTTAAATTAAATATTTCTAAATGATCTTAATATTTTACTTAGTTTTTTAATTCCAATTTTGAAAAACTTCTGTTTTCAAAATGTAGATTATTTATCATTTAACATTTTTCTTAAAAACTTGTGGCTACTGAATAGAACATTTCAGTTTATCTAGGCTGTGTTATTTTGGAAAGCTGCTTGATCTGATTTTTTTTGTGCCTTCAATTTTTTTTATTTTTAGTTCTCAACTGATAGGAAATTTCAGAGGTTTGTAAAAATGAGAAAGTGATTTCTCTTTGACCACTAAATAAAAGTTTAACAGGGAGAAGGGGCTGAGAGAGATTCTAATACACACACACACACATAAACTCACATATATGGCTATGGATGGATGTCTAAATAGACGCCAGGATTTGAGTTGTGGCTAGACATAATACTACTGTTCAAGGTAATGCTGAGGAATGGAGCTGTGATTCTAGACACCCTTTCTGGATGATTGGCCCCTTCATAGCCCCTCAACACCATGACCAGGTGTTCAAGGAGCTGTGGCAAATATATATATGCAGCAACTTGGGAGCTTGCTGGAAATCATGGGTGGAATTGACTCTGCCATGGTTATGTCTGAGCAGAGTACTGTCAGTAGATTCAAAAACTTTTATTTGGAGAATATTTGAGCTAAAATTGTATTGGAACTTCCCTTAATCAGGAACCCTTAATATACAGAATGAAGAATTATTTACAAGTTCTATTGAATTAGCAATAGGCAATCCATGAGAACTAAATAGTGAAAAATAATTGTTATTTGTGTCCATATTTACTCTGATTTCAAAGAAAGGATTTTTACTGGACCATCCAAATCATCTAGTAGAAAATTAAACTCATTAAACTCTCTCTGATAATTTAGGTTTACCATTTCTTCTGGTACATAGTGAGAAATTCCTTGGACCACAAGACATAAAATAAATCTTTTATATTATCAGAGCAAGGATAGAAACTTCTACACAAAATTTGAAGTCTCGCTAGCATAAACTAACCTTATTAGTCAAGAATTTATTTCCTATTGATGTCTGTGTTGATTTCATTACATAAAGACAGACTATCTATTTCATTTCATTCAACTGGGGTGACGTCAAATACTGACATCTGCTAATTTCTTTAAAACTTTTCACGGCTGGGGGAGAGTTAGCTCAATAATCTTTATTGTAGGGTGGGAGAGAGATAAATATCATATGCTTTATTACTAAACTTCTTTTTCCTTCTCTTTTCTCATGGCAATATTTCAAATTATTTTGATCATAGGCCTATTACCCAGAACAGCGACAATTGATTTTGTTATTGTCTAAGCGGAATTTGGTCTGGTTAAATCTAAATGGAAGGCTTTTTCAGAGGCCCTTACATTAACCAGAAATGTGCAACATATTTGTGTTTCAGTATGTATTACTGTTAGTAAATAGCATTATTTTCCCTGAGCTGCTACTGAATTGAAGACATTGAAGCAGGGGGCTATCTTTTACAAACATAGCCAGATCTAGCCCAGAAAAACTCTTCTTTTAGGTTTATCAAAATTCTATATGCTACTTTAACTGACTACAGTATAACACTACTCACCCCTCTTCAGTACTCTAAGTCAATGCGATCAAAAAGGTACTAAGTACTTTACAAAATCTGTCATGTTTATATCTCTGAAAAGACATAAAGTAGAAAGAAAGGTTACAGATAAAACGAAATGTAAATTGAGTGAAATTAGACGTGTTCTACAAATGAATACCCAGCCTCTTCCTTTGTATCGAACCAGTGTAAGGGACATACCGCTGACTATTCAAATGACAAAGTGCCTCTTGTCTATAAAAAAAATAACAGTCATAAACCAAAGTAAGGACAAATTATTTAGCCAAATTAGTGAGCAAAACTCATCTTCTTAACTTAACAGATGAAAAAAAAAGAAAATTATAGGTTGTCATGAAGATCAGGAAATAATTATAAATATGCATTTGGTTTTAATTAAAAGTCTTCATGTAAATCGTGTCTTCTTGCATCTTCTGTCAAGGATATCCTCTATCGTCAAGGCATCCCAACTCAGGAAATATTTTTATAATAAGTTTATTTTCTTTGAAACTATAGTTTCTGCCAACAGACACAAGCACATACTTTCCCATTTTGAAGCTATTGGTTTTGACTGTACAGTCTATTAACAAAGCAATCTCCATCCATGCAAATCCAAAATTTCTGAAATAAAGTATCCTCTTTCTTCGGAAATATATATGGCATGTTGTTACATTGTAAACCCCAGTATTTCTTATTTACCCCTCCCCATCTTTATTTTCAAAGCCATGCATAATTATATTTCTCAGCTTCTAGTAAGTATGGAAAGCTCTCTTCCTGTCCTTGCTGAGTTCATAATGTCACTCGCCCTCCCAAATACTTAACTTTCAAAGAAGTCACACTTCCTCCTAAACTGTACCTCCATGGCAATGCTGCCTCATTTGCTAACATAGGTAACTATAATATATTTCAAAAACAAATAAAGACAAAGCAAAAGAAAAAATAGAATAACTAGATAATACTTAGGTTGGATTATGATTATAATTTACCATGTTAACCAGAATTGCTTTAATATTTGCCTGTCCTCTTTTGTCTGCATCTGCTGCTGTTTTCGCACTTAAAAACTCTCTAAATCAGGGACTTTCTTCTTGTTCATGATTGTTCCTGATAATCACGTATCACAATTAGGATCATCATTTATCACCCAGTTTCCTACGTGTCCTCAGCAAGCAAATTAAAAAAATGGTAATAGTGAAGTTTCATAAAATAGGATACTAGTTCATTCATTTCATAAGTTTAATATTGGCGGACCAGTCTGACGACATATAGTTCTCTAAGCGCAATAGGGTCTCCTAGGGGACTGAAAACCTCTGGGAATGACCAAATATGTGCTTCTTGCTGTTTTTATTTCCATTCCTGTGGGTGATATGAGAGCAAAAACAAAACTTTAAAATACTATCACAAGACTAAAACTAGTAGATCTGTTAGCAAAACACCACATATCTCACCTCTTCCTATTTTAAACTCAGTGAGAGATAACAGTTCCTTACTGGATGAAGCAGGAAGCAAATATCTTACTTCAAAGAAATGGGCCAATATCAAAGATTTAATCTGAAAACTGTAACTCCCTCTACTTAAAGGTCTACTTCCTCTCCCTACAAAGGATTCATGCCCTGCTGCTACCTTGAGTTCTGAGTATTCTCTTATTCTCTTGTTCAAGACCTACTTGAAGTAGATCTTGTGATAGAGCATGTTTACATGCTTTGCCTCTATTTCTTTACAGCTGCATTAGATCATTTACTTAAAAATGCACCAGGTCTATTAACCTCAAGCTTTCTGATGTTCTTCAATCATCTGAAGGAGCTGGTTTCAAGACAGCACCGAATAACAAATGAAAATAACATTCTTCCATCAATCCATTACATTTCTGTTCCTTCCTGCCTCATGCAGCAGCAGTATAAGGAAATGTTTGGCAAAAAATGCAATGCCAGAATTTTCCTAGTCTTTCTACCATTGAGATAATTGACACATGTAGGGTCAGAATTCACAATCAGAACCTCTACCTCATCTAATTTTCCAAGAAACCATTTGCAATATGGGTGTACGAATACAAAAAAGAGTAATTTTCATATCAGTCCCCAAGAAAAGTCCATTTAAGTTTCACAATCTGCAAAGTCCATCAGTCCGACAGAGAGCAACAGAATCACAGATGCTGCAGTTTTCCAGAAACTTCAGACTTAAAATTATTAAAACAGATTAGCATTTAAACTAGAACAGAGAGTAAAGGATTTCTTCCCCTTTTATTAAAAGCAAAGATGCTACCATCCATAACTCGTCTAGTAAATTTAGATTATTGAGTCCAGTGTGCAATGTTATTAGTAAATATGTATTTTAACCCTTGCCAATGACCTAATTCTAGCAAAATAGATCCATATTACCCTGATTTATGTTCAATTTTGTTTTAAAGCAGAATTTGAAGAGGAGAGGTTGATAGCACGGCTTTATTATAA